GAATGCCTGATGTGTTCTGGCTGCAGCACAAACCCAGCCGTCTGATTTTCGTTGGGCCGTTCTTTGGTTTGGGGCACTAAACACCTCTCCTCTTCACCCCTCTTCTTCACAGCAGAAAGCATCCAGCTCCTCCCACGAAGGGCGTCTCGGGGAGTCCCAGCTGAGTGGTCCAGCTCACATGAGGCCTTCGTTTGAGCCCCCTCCCACCACCATCGCCGCCGTTCCCCCCTACATCGGGCCGGACACACCGGCGCTACGGACTCTCAGCGAATACGCGCGCCCCCACGTTATGTCCCCCACAAACCGCAACCACCCATTCTTTGTTCCCCTCAACCCCACCGACCCCCTCTTGGCCTACCACATGCCCGGCCTCTACAACGTGGACCCCACCATCCGGGAGCGGGAGCTGCGGGAGCGGGAGATCCGGGAGCGGGAGCTGCGGGAGAGGATGAAGCCCGGCTTCGAGGTGAAGCCTCCGGAACTCGACGCGCTGCACCCCGCCACCAACCCCATGGAGCACTTTGCCCGTCACGGCGCCCTCACCATCCCCCCCACGGCAGGCCCTCACCCCTTCGCCTCTTTCCACCCGGGGCTGAACCCCCTGGAACGGGAGAGACTCGCTCTGGCAGGCCCTCAGTTGCGGCCGGAAATGAGCTACCCGGACAGACTGGCTGCCGAGAGGATACACGCCGAGCGGATGGCGTCGCTCACCAACGACCCTTTGGCCCGGCTCCAGATGTTCAACGTGACGCCACATCATCACCAACATTCACACATACACTCGCACCTCCACCTCCACCAGCAGGACCCGCTCCATCAAGGTGAGCCAGGGTTGTCCGGGCTGCATCACCTCCAGACACTCCCCCGGTGTCATCCTTTTTCTGTGAAGTCGGGTTGGATAATATATAATTTTTTAAAGTCATATCCCATCCAAAAACCTATCTCTGAGGAACATAAACTTTGGCTAGAGAAACCTATAACTACCTCTGAAATTTTAGCAACTATGAAGTCGGGTTGGACCTACCTGTGCAAGCAGTAATGGGTGGTAGAACAAGCTGTATCGCTTCACACTTCAAGGGGAGATGAGTTGTCAGCAACGCTCCCTGTAAGCCGTGGAGTCTTGTGAGCAAAAATTCTGCTTTGTGAGCTACTGGCACTAGAGTTGTGAGCGAGCAATTTGGCTGCTGCATAAATTAGTTTGCTCTGGAGCCATCCTTCTTGAACGAAGACAAAAAGGTGTGAGCTGGAGGCTAAGAAACAGTGAGCTAGCTCACACTCACTCAGCTTAGAGGGAACCCTGGTTGTCGGTCACTTCTTTGGGAATGCACCTCGGCCAGGAAGGAAGGAAGGAAGTAGCTCCTTAGAAACCAGAAAGCTTTTCAGGATCTCATACCCCGGACAGCTTGTTGGTCTCCGAGGTGCTACTGGACTCGAAACGAGCTGTTTATTTTATTTATTTATATACTGGATGTCTTAATCGCCCAGTCCCTGCTGTTGCAGGGCTGTGGGCGACGTACAGTATCCATAAAACACAGTCAGATAAAACCACGAAGACATCAAGAACACGTGTTCGAAAAAAGATGGCGAACATGAATTCGTCCGATTTCAGACCGCCAGCTACTTTGCAGGTGTGTGGGCGGGGGCAAAAGGTAAAGAGCGGGGGGGGGGATGAGAAAGGGTGCCAGCCGAAAGGAAACCGTCGCTGTCCTCAGCCAAAAGCCTGGCCAGGGCCGGCTCACTCACTAGGCAAACTAGGCGATTGCCTAGAGCGGGCTGGCCCTTAGGGGCGCCAAACTGCACCCGGCCCCGTACTCTGAGTGTTTTTTGATCATTTGTGTTTTTCATTCTTCCTAAAATGCATTTATTTTTGAAAAATGGTGGGCGCATTGGGGGGGGGGGGATGCCAGAAGGGATCCTCGCCTAGGGTGCAAAATAAGCTGGGGCCGGCCCTGAGCCTGGCGGAACGTCTCTGCCTCACAGGCCCTGCAGGATTGCATAAGGTCCCGCAGGGCCCCTGATGGCATTCGGCAGAGAGTTCCACCCGTTCGGGGCCAAGACCAAAAAGGCCCTGGTCGTGGGCAGCCGGCTATCCTCAGGGCCAGGGACCCCCAGCAAGTAGTTCTACTGCAGACCAACACGGCTGCTCTCTGAAGCTCCTAAGAAGGGGTGGGGCGGAGTGAAGCCGAAGTAGAAAAGTAGCACCGTTAGCTGCAGCCTTCCCCTCTGATTATCTTGTTCTCCAATTGCTGGGAATTTTGGGCACAGAAGAGTGTTCAGAAATGGCACCCCCGTCGCCAGCCTTCTGAAGTGATACTCCCAACAGAACGACATAAAAAAGGGCCGTTGCTGGATCAGACCCAAAGCCCATCTGGTCTCCTGCCTTGTTTTCTGCGCGACTGACCGGGGGCACACAGAAGCCCAAGCTTCTTGCCACCCTGGACTCGTTCCAGTGTCTCCTTCTCTTAAAGGTCACCTTACTCGTCGGGGGGGGGGGTTTCTGTCACTTGAGCTTCCCCACCAAGTAAGAAAGGGGAGAAGTTCTACAAGCCGGCCTGGGACGGGCGATTCTCGTGAGCCGCTTGTCCTGCACGCCCTTGTAAACGGAGGGTGGCGTGGAGCACTGCCTGTGCTGAGGCCTGAAATCCCACCAATCTCCTTCGCTCTCACTGGGTCCGCTCTTAGACGTGGCAGCTGCTTCTGGCTTTCCAGTAACAGCAGGATTTCCTGAAGCACAGTCAGCCATCTTGGCCCCTCACGTTGCAGGGACCGAGAAGAGGCAGGTCGCACTGAGCCTCCATTTTCTCTCTAGGCCACTCCAGGGCAGTGTTCCCTCTAAGCTGAGTTAGTGTGAGCTAGCTTTCAGTTTTTTAAGCCTCCGGCTCACGCATTTTTGCCTTTGCTCAGGAAGGAGGGCTCCAGAGGAGACTAATTCCTGCAGCAGCCAAATCAGTCGCTCGCAACTTTAATGCCAGTCGCTCACCAAGTAGAATTTTTGCTCACAAGACTCCACAGCTTAGAGGCCGTGTCTCCTCTTTGTCCCCCGCGGTCCCCACTGGCCCTCGTGGAGTAGGTCAAAGGCAGGCTTTGAATCTGGGCCTCCCCTGCCCTTATCCTGATGCCACGTTGACCTTCTCTCTGCTTTACGGAAAGCTCTTTGGTGGTTTCAAAACTAAAGTGCCACACGTGTGGTGGGGGAGCAGTTCCGATCACCCTCCTCTCCTCGCACAAACGGAAATCACACCGCCACCCCTTGTGCCAGCTGGGAAACGGGCAAAGAGAAGATAACCTTTCCCCGCCTCGTCTCCCAAGACAAATGGTACAACGGGGTTAATTCTGATTGGCACAGGGATGGGAGTAGGGTGGAGGAATGGGTTAAATTCTCCCCCCTGTGCCATGGTCTCGGATCAGGGCCCTCTCGGCTGCAGTTGCTCCTTGAATAACTCGGGGGGGGGGGGGGATGCAGTCACGGATCTTCCAGTATCTCTGCTGATTTGGCTCTCGCCTCGATGAGAAATGACAAAAGGGAGAGTCGGTTTGGTGTGGTGGTTGGGAGCTTGGACTCTAATCTGGGAGACGCAGGTTTGATTCCCCACGCTTCCAACATGCAGCTGCTGGTGTGACCTCGGGCCAGTCACAAGTTCCCTCAGAGCTGTTCTCTCACAAGCAGTCCTCGAGTGAGCTCTCTCAGCCCCACCTGTCTCACAGGGTGTCTGTTGTGGGAAGGGAAAGGAGATTGTAAGTCCCTCTGAGACTCCTTCGGGTAGTGAAAGGTTGGGGTATAAATCCAATCTCCTCCTCCACCTCCACATCGCTGCGATGGATCTAGCCCTCGTCCCTTGAGAACAGAGGCGGCTGCTATCCACCCAGCAACCTCCAGAGGTCTGTTTCTTGGTTGCAATACAGTGGGGCATTGTGAATTTGTGCGTGCATAACACAATGCGTTCTCGTCCTGTATCACTCTTATTTGTGCAAGTTCCTGTTTGCACCAGCTGGGTTTCCCGATTTCCCCACCAACGCCCACCACTTTATGGGGAAGGAAAAAGAGAGAGGACAGGGTTCTGTGTCCCGTGGCATGATACGAAGGCTTTTAGGGTGAGACCAGCGATCTGCAGAAGGCTGTCAGCTTATTTTCTCTTGCTGCTGTATCGACAATAGCAGAGTTAATTGAGGCACCAAATAGCCATGCCGGGGCGGCGGGGGCGGGGGGGGCGTGCCTGCCTGCGCAAAGCAAGGTCAGGAACAAAAGCCTTTTCCCCAGGACAGAGTGTGCCATCCCATTAACGTATCAAAGTGCAGCTGTACTTTTTGTGCCGGCAGATAGAACAAAGTGAATCCTGGAGAGGCTGCGTTAAAAATAGATGGGAGCGTCTCTGCTTTCTGGGCTAGGAAAGGAACTGCAAGGATGAAGCCTCTCTGAGGCTCAGAGGAGCCATCCTGTGGTTAAGAAATACCCCAAGGAGATCCCAGGACAGGGCAGCGTGTTGCTTCACAGTGTGTGTTTCTCTTTGTGCTTTTTAAAGCCCAGTATGGTGTGCATCTCCATTTTGGAAGCTGTTGGTCATGTTACAAGAATTACCTCTTTATAGATCACCGGGGTTTTTGGGGGGGATTGTTCTCGGTAGAGACTCCAAGGCCATCCAGTCCAGCCTTAAGTCATAGAATCACAGAGTTGGAAGGGGCCATACAGGCCATCTAGTCCAACCCCTGCTGCTCAATGCAGGATCAGCCTAAAACATCCCTGGCGAGTGTTCGCCTCTGTTCACCGCTGCCTGGAAAGACTGCCAGGGAGGGGGAGTTCCCCACCTCCCCAGGCAGCCAATTCCACTGCCGAGCTACTCTTGCTGTAAAAAACTTTCCCCTGATATCCAGCCAGTATCTTCCCGCCCATAATTTAAACCCATGACTGTGAGTCCTGTCCTCTGCTGCCAATGGGAACAGCTCCCTGCCCTCCTCTTAAGTGGCAGCCTTTCAAATACGTAAATTTTTTTAGTCCCAAAAATGAGACCGTTTTGCAACCAGTGCATGCGCCCTTAGGCTCCAGTGCATTATAGTTCCCAGGGATGGCTCAGGGAAGCTGGCTCAGGGAAGCGGGACTAAACTCTCCGACTTCCTGACTCTCAGCTGGGAGTCACCCCGGCTCAGTTTGCTTCCTGCCTCGTTGGGGGAGAGTGCAGCTCCAGAGCTGAGCTCTTTGCTCCTTTCTTACTTGCTTTTCTCTTGCTTTTCTCCTGGAGTGGTTTCATACTTGAGGGAGAGCTTCCGGACCTCTCCAGCCTCTCTCACGTCTCTCTTCACACCTCCTCTTGGCTCTGCTGCTCCTCTTGGTCTTTGCAGTTTTTTTTCCTTGCTCCCCCTCCCCCTTCCTTGGAGGAACGTGGAAGGGAATGGCCCAGTGGTGGGCTCCGGAGGGACGTAAAAGAGATGAATTTACCTCTGGAAATGATGGAGACCCTCTCCTTCCTTCTGTCTCCTGCGAAGAGAGCTCCCTGGCTGAGCCTAGCCCAGAGCTGCTTAAGGAGAGCGCCATAAAAAGGCATGAAAATGTCTCCTCAGGTGCAAATGGCTCGCTCGGCTGCCGGTTCAACCCCTGTAGGCTACTCGTTGGACACCCCCTCTCTCTCTCGTCTGCCAGTTTGGCCCCTGGGGGCTACAGTGGCATGCCAGGCTCCGCTGAACCAGAGGGACTCCTTGACCACCAGAGCAGATCTTCAGGGGGTAAGGTGCTGTCTCTCCCCACCCCCACCTCCCCATCCCCTCCGAGAGGTTGTGGCCGGCTGGGATCCTTGCTTGGCTGAGTTGATGGGATCTTTTAAAGAGAGCCCTGAGAGAGGAGAGGAGCGGCAAGGTGTGCGAGAGCACTCCTCTCCCACCCCAGGGATCCAAGCGCTCCAACCTGAGGTCACCCTCGCCAGCCCACAAGCAAAGGTTTAGGCGTAAGGAGCCTCTTCCTCCACTGCCAGGGTCCAGGGCAGCCCCCCCTCCCGGGATGGACAGTCCCTTCCCCGTCACAACCAAAGAGGGAGGCGGGAGAGTTTTTCTTAGAGGAGGCGCCCAGAGTTGCTGACCAACCCATGTTCCTGTTCAGTGCACATGACTGCCAGTCTGTCTTATCCAAAGCCGTGCTGGCCCTGGGCCTCACAGAAATCCCCGACCCTGGAGAGGAACCTTCAGGGAGTGAAAGCAGGCCCGGGGGTGGGGGTGGATTTCCCCCCAGGGCTCCTTCCTCAGAAAGGCTGGTTTCCCTTTCCCAGTTTTTTTCAGAAGGCCGATGAAGGGAGAATGGGCCCAAGCCTATATGTAACAGGCAGTTTCCAAACATCACCTAAAGCTTCAGTCCTACAGGTATGACAAGCCTGATCGGCTGGCCAGACAAGGAAACCGTGATGCCCGGGACATTCTGGTTGGCTGGCCTCAGGAATTCCAACCTAGCGGCTTCAGCCTCCCCAAGACCACTGGATGCTGCGAACCAGTCTGGCTGTGCCATAACGTTCTGCAGTTTCCCCATACTGCCTCCTTCTGTTTCCCAGATGTCTCTCACCCTCCCAAAAAAGGGACCTACCAAAGCGACAGGCTACAGACCCAGTTCCCTCCCATGAGCATCGCTCAGCAGGAGTTTGCGCCGTATTTTTCTTGTTGCCCAAGAGAAAGGGGTACTGGGGAGCCATTCTCGACCTGAAGTATATGAAGAGGTCACTTCCGCAGGGAGACCCTATGACCTGGCAGACCTCCACCTATCTCATGGAAGCCTGCTTCCACATTCCCATCCTTCTAGGACATCGCAGGTTTCTCCAGTTTGCCTTCAGTGCAGGGTTCTTCCTTCTGGCCTAGCGTCGGCTCCTTGGGTCTGCCATCAAGGAAACTAAATCCATCCTTATCTGATGACATCCTGATCCGTTTTCCCACTTGTGAGCTATCGATTAGGGATGCCCTCAGAACCATTCAGCTCGTGGAAATCCATGCCCTCACTTTAAACAAGGGAAAAAACAGCCTTGCCCCATCGCAGGGACTCCCAACACCTTGGCGTGATGATGGGCACACACCAGAATGTGCTGGCCCACCCCACCCCACCAGACAAGGCCTCCAGGACTTTGAGCTTGGCCAAAGATCTGGTCAAAGTCAGAACTACCTAGCTGATGTCCCTGGCGTGCCTCCGGGGCCTGATAACCTCCCACATAGGGACAGTTCCATGGGCCCGAATACCTGCTGGACACACTGCGGTGGTTCTTCTGGCTCTGTCAGCTAGAAATCCTGCGGAGGAGCCACGTAACCCCAGACCTAAAACAGTTTCTGAGACAGCATGGTCTGGTGGGCTGACCTGTACAACTGAGACGGGGCGAACCCTATGTCTCAGACTACATCCTGCAACTTTACAGACCATGGGTCTCTCTGGTCGGGCAGCATCACTGCTCAGCTCTCCAGGCCAAGACAGATGCACATCAAAGGAAAAGACAGTGGGCATCATCAAGGCCTTGGATCCCAGAGCTATCAGGAAAGCACTCACCTTCTGGGCAGTCATGAGGAACCAGCAGGTACTCATCAGAACAGGTAATTTTTCAACCAAGGCCCATATCAAGTGTGGGGGACGTCCGGGTCATCCCCTGAACACTACGGGTCAACTCATCCCTTTTCTGGGCGGAGAAACTTCTGTGGCCCATCCCAGGGACTCCTGAGCATCCAGGCAGACTTGCTGAGCAGACAGATCATCGACAAAAACAACACAGTCCACCAAAATGGGAAATGTTCCTACTAATTGCAGCTCTCGTTTTGCAAAGCCAGAAGTAGATCTTCTTGCCTTGGCATCCAGTCATCAAGTACCGAGAATGTTTCTCCAGATCCCATCTCCCTCAGTCAGAATGAGCAGATGCTCTAACCTCTCCGTGGCCCAAGGTATGCCCTTCTGCCCCCTCCCAGTAATCCCAGGCTCTGTAGAAGATGCATCAGGATCAGATGGAGGTGAACTTTGTGGCTCCAGAGTGGCCCTGCAGGGCATGGTTTCCATCCTCGGTGGATCTCTCCGTTCAGCCCCCCCGCCCCCGGGAGATTTCCGTGAGCCCAGACAGCAGGGGCCGATTTGGCACCCGGGTCCCGAGTTGCTCCATCTGATCATGTGGCTCTCGGAAGCAATGGGCTCCTGAATTTTGGCTGCTACTCAGAGGTCGCAAGACCTTCGTGACTTCCAGGAGAGTCTCCGTAAGATCCGTCTACGATACTACGTGGGAAAGGACCTTCTTGAGGTGGTGCCGATGCAAGCACGTCCACCCTGGCCTGGGCCATCAGTTGGCCCCTCCTTCACAGGGTGCTCATCAGAAAACAAACAAACAAAACCATCAGCCTGCAGGTGTCCACCCTTCATTGCCAGGTAATGTAGCTGGCAACCCTTAACGAGACATCCTCATATCTTCTGCTTTCTCCATGGGGTCACGCAGATCAACCCCCTACTGTGGTCCACAGATTGTCTTCATGGAGGCTGCATATAGTTCTTTCGGCTCTCGCTAATCCTCTTTTTGAGTTCTTAAGAGAAGTTCCCCTTAAAATGTCTGCACATGAAAACCCTCCTCACAGCAGTGATTTTGGCTAGGAGGGGTTGAAACTGGGAGCCTTGTCAGCCAGGAAAGGCCTTCGTGTCTTCCACAAGGACAAGGTGATGCTCAGGCCGGATCCCAACTGTACCACCCAGGTGAGCTCCACTCCTCACAGGAGCCAGGAGATTCATGTCCCTTCCTTCTGCCCACATCCTAGGCACCCCAAGGACAGAGAGTGCAGTGGTTAAGTGCGCGGACTCTAATCTGGGAGAACCGGGTTTGATTCCCCACTCCTCCACTTGCAGCTGCTGGATGACCTTGGGCAAGCCATAGTTCTGTCAGAGCTGTTCTCTCAAGGACAGTTCTGGAAAGAGCTCTCTCAGCCCCGCCTACCTCACAGGGTGTCTGTTGTGGGGAGGGGAAGGGAAAGGAGCTTGTAAGCCGCTCTGAAACTACGAGTGAAGGGCAGGTTATAAATCCAATCTCCTCCTCCTCCTTATATCTCCCGGGGGGGGGGGCTCAGAATCTACCCCCGACGTACAGAATCCATCGGAAAGATGGGCTCTCTCTTCATTTTGTTAACAGCCCCCAATAAGGGAAGATGATGTCCAGATTGGCCATCAGCTACACCATTCGATAGTGCACCTCCCATGCCTACAAGGCAAGCAACGTTTCTGGTTCCCGCAGGGATCACGGGCCACTCAATGAGAAGTGCAGCCACCACCACAGACGTTGATCTTCATGCCTCAGTGGAGGACACATGCAAGGCAATGACATGGTCTTCCGTCTCGACCTTCATCAGGCCCTACAAACTTCATTCCTTCTCCATTGATGCCGCCTTCGGGCAGAGAGTGCTGCAGGATATGGTGAAAGGTCGTCCGTTCCCACCCGTCATTGGGATACGTACCGGTATTGGAAGCCCCATTCCAAGATCGGAACCTCGGATACTCGCCGTAAAGGTCCCTTCTGTGCTCTGAGGTTCGGAGGGCATCTTGCCCCCACTCCTCCCCCTCCCCCCCAAAAAACCCCAGAAAGAACAGAGGAATGTCTACAAAAGCAGGATCGTGCGTTCGACCAGTCCTATGTGATCAAGTTGCAGGGGGAGATGCCTGCCAGCTCTGATCCTTCTTTAACCCTGTTCATATCTCGTCTCTGGTTATCATCTGTTAGGCCTCTATCAGTGACTTGCCTGTTCTGGTTGTTTTATCTCTGCTCTGCTCCTTCCTGTCCCTGGGATCATTAGCTCGTGAAGTGACCAAACTGAGCCAGGGCGATTCCCAGGCGGGAGACAGGAAGTCGGAGAGTTTAGTCCCGCCTCCCTGAGCCAAAGGATCCAGAGTTGGCTTTTTCAAGAGTGGCACCACCACAGCCTCCTTCAATCCCTCCACCAGTTGCTTTTGATCCTCCTAAAAGGCGGCAGCCGCTCAGAGCCTAAGGAAAGCCCCCCAGCAGAGAAGTTTGCCGGGGAGCAGATCAGTGTTCCCTCTCAGCTTAGTGTGAGCCAAGCTCACAGTCTTTTAGCCTCCGGCTCACACATTTGTTGCCTTCGCTCAGGAAGGAGGGCTCCAGGGCAAACTGATTTATGCAGCAGCCACATCGCTCGCTCACAACTTGAATGCCAGTTAGCTCACAAAGCAGAATTTTTGCTCAGAGGGAGCATTGGAGCAGGTCTGTGCCACCCAGCATCCTGCCTCTGCAGCAGGTGGCCCTCTGTGGCCCCGCGGAAGGCCCAGCAGCAGCTACAAACGCTGGGTGTTGGACATGGGTTTGAGTTCAAGCCCCAGCTATAAACTCAGCAAGCAGTCGTGCAAATGTAGTTTCTCTCCGTCTAAGTTCTCAATCTGTGCAAGGATATAAATTGTGACCCTTTCCCAGAGAGTGATGATGATATCTCCATAATCACATGGAAAGGGACTTGCAGTCACTTCCTGGCTGGTTGCCCGGCAGTCGCACAGATGGCCTGCCGGGGCCGAGAGACGGTGCCTCGCAGGAGTCTCTCATGCCCTGTGCCAGACGTTGGCTGTGGCCCAGGGACTGTTGAGGGATCTGTCTCCAAAGCCCAAGTCCTGCCATTTTCGTTACTGATGCACGTACCTGTGTGGACTGTTCCCCCTTACCCATGCGCAGTAACAGAAGAGTGCTTTGGGCACATCAGCGAACTGGCTGCCGGCCTGGTTTCCCGCTGGCCCATCTGTGTATATTTTGTTCACTGACTGGGTGTGATTTGAACCTGCCTTGGCTTGCCAGGTGCCCACACACACACACACACACACACACACACCCCAGAAACGAGATCTGCTGGAGGCGTCTGTCTGTCTGGGCATAACGGCCTTTCTCTCGCTAGCCCCTGCCGTGGTTCAGTGGCTGCTGGTGGTGATGCACTTGTAAGCTCGCACTTACTGCTATCTGAGAGACATGAAATGTAGTGATGGTTGGAGCATTAGACTAGGAACGTGGAGGGGGGGGGGCATCCGGATTCAGATCCGTGCTCAGCTGTGAAGCAACCTGGGGCCGGTCACACACCCTTGGCCTCACAGGATTGCTGTTTAGATCAAATGGAGGGAGGAACCGTGCACATGGCTTTGTGCTGAGTAGGATAAACAGCTAAAACTTAGATGTAGCGTGTGCATTATCTCTTCTTTGCTTGCCTTTCTCTGGGGGGCAGAAATGAAGGGCGGGATCCCTCGAGTCTCTCCCTCGAGGGACCCACACAAAGCTGCAGTTGAGGGTAATCCCCTGACTCCCAGATTCAGTGGGAATTTGAACCCAAATACTAGTCCAGGAGTAGACCTGAGCATTCCCAGGGTGTTGCGGCGCTACAGCGATCAATCAGTGGGGTCAGGGGTGGTTCAAGCCTATTGCGGCACAGATGAGACAAACTCGGTTGAAAACCTAGGACTGATTTGTGTTGGGTCTTGGCAGTGGTCCGTATGTTGGAGTGTAAACCTTTCCAAAGGAGGAACTCTGGAGGCAGCGTCGTGCAGAGGAACCAGTGGCTGCCCACAGGGAAGTGACACAGTCAGGACTGGCAGGAAGCCTTCCCTTGCGGGTGCATGGATGCAAACCATTCCTAGCTACAGGAATCCAGGGCGGGTGCCGGGGCACCCTGACCTCAGGCAGCTCACGTGGCAGAGTCCTCAGCCGAACATCCACTCACAGCCCCACGGCAGCAAGAGGAGAATCGGGGGTCAGGATGACCCGGCCTTTTTCTGTCTGCCCCAAGGAAGCAACTGTGTCAGTGAGATCAGCGTTGAGAGGCTGAATCCCAAGATCTTCACGATCTGTTCTAAAGCTCTAAATCAAAGGGCTTGTGCTGCCACTGCCGGCCACGTACGCAGCCCTTCTCTTAGGAGGCGAGGGTGGCATGCCCACTGAGTTCCTCAGCTGAACGGGGATTTGAACTTCGGTCTCCAGAGCCCTGAGCAGACACAGTAAGCCAGGGGTGTTGAACTCATTTGTTATGCGGGCCGGACGTGACATAAATGAGACCTTGTTGGGCCGGGCCATGCATGTCATAAAATGTAATGCCAGGTAGCGAGATATAAACCTTATAAAGGACGCAAACACAGAGATTTTTTTTTTTGTTTACTTAACATAAAAACATACTTAAAACATTTAGCTCTGTAAGCTGCAAACCTACTTTTGATTTATTGACATTGGCCACAGAAATCTCACGCCCAGAGTTCTGAGTCTAGGACCCAGGTTAAAACATGGAATGGCTGAGTGATTAAGAGAGTCTGGTGAAGCAAGCTATGATGCAGCAGCAGCAGCAGAACTGGAAGCAGGAGATGGCCAGTTCCACTGCAGGCCTGATGGAAGCCCTCCGGGGGCCTGATCCGGCCCCTGGGCCGCATGTTTGACACCCCTGCTATAAGCGCTTCACTCCACCAGTGCTCTCTATCCAGTGAGATCCAAGCTGATTTTCACTTTCAGGGGGGCGGCCATTTCCCAGGGGCCTCAACTGGTGGTGACCATCCGGGGCACGTTCTTCCCTTCTCTCTGCATGAGCCACTTGGCAGTAGGTGTCTGAGGCTGGTGAGGAGCTGGCATTGATGGCTAAGAGGCCCTTGTGTCTCGGAGCAGACGGAAGACTTGTTCCGGATGGGGTTGTCCTCTGTCTGAAGCAGGGGCTGGCAGCCCTTCACCAGGCATCGGTGCTTGATTCTCTGGGCCTCTGTGTGGGTATGCAGGGCTGGTTTCCAGCTCTGCCTGAAGCACAAAGCCGTGCCCTGTCAGAAGGATGTAGGAAAAGCTCTCCTGGGTCAAGCCAAAGGATGAGAGGCGTTCCAGTGTCCACTGACTTCTCCCAGCAACAGGTGTTCAAAGATACACTGCCTGTGCACACGGAGGTTCCATTTAGGGTTTGTTGGGGGGGGTCTCTTTTTGATAGACTCAGCCCTCCATGAATATCTCTTTGACCACCTCCCTGAATTCCTTTTTAAAGCCACCTAAAGGGCTGTCAGTACCTCCAGTAGCACCAGCTGCTCATTATGTGAAGAAGTCTTTTGCTTTTTTCGGTATGTTTTTGAAGTGTTTGGCATCTAGTCCCTCCAGTTTGGTGTAGCGGTTAGGAGCACGGACTTTAATCTGGGAGGAACTGGGTTTGATTCCCCACTCCTCTACATGCAGCTGTTGGTGTGACCTTTCGTCAGTCACAAGTTCTTTCAGAGCTGTTCTCTCAGGAGGCGTTCTCAAAAGAGCTCTCTCCGGCCCACCTACCTCAGGGTGTCTGTTGTGGGGAGGGGAAGGGAAAGGAAACTGTAAGCCACTTTGAGACTCTTGCGGGTAGTGAAGGGCAGGGTATAAATCCAGTCTCTTCCTCCTCCTCCTTCTTCCTGCAAGACCTGTCCCCTGTCACTCAAGACTTGATAAGCTCCGGGTTAGACTGCTGTATCATTTTCTCTGTGGGGCTGTTTTGGAAGACTGTTTGGATGCTGGGAGCATTTCCAGATGTTATCCGAATGAACACCTTCTTGCCTGGATCCCACCTGCCTGCTTCACAATCATCCAAGGAGGGCTTCTTCTGCCTGCCTTTGCCAGGTGTCTGTCTCATGGCAGTAAGGTCTGCAGCCATTTGGGGAATACTACCCTCACCTCTCCGGAAATCCATGGGGCTCCTTGTCTGGCTGGTTTTAAGGAACTGGTTTTAAAAGCAAAACAAAACAGAAACTGTTCTTTCTGGAATGCCCTTTCCCCTGTGAGAGTCCCTGGCAGTTCTTAGATTTTGTGGTGCGGCTGGGTCTGTTTTTAAGCCTTTTGTCATGGCAGATTTTTAGCTAGTTTTGTATTGTGACTTATTTCAAGGGTGTGTTTCCGGGAAGCAGGAGGTAGAAACCAAATGAGTGAATCAATGTCAGGTTGATGCGCAAGTTCTCCTGCACACTTTCCAGTTTCCTCGTCGGTGAAAAATCTGTAGCTTGTTCTTCTCCCGACACACACGAGCTTAATTTAATATATTTTAACAATTAAAGACTGTTTGGCAACCTGATGTCATTTCAGATGCTCCAGAGAGTGCCATGGGCTTTACGGTTGCAAAGCGGAGCTCTCCTGCTTATTACTAGTTAATGCTGGGCATTGCACAGGCACTGATCTTACTGGGCAGGGGGAGTTTTTTCCCAAGCAGGCGTTTAAGTCTTGTATGTGTTGCTTCCCTTCCTCCCCCTCCTGCAGGCTCAGCCGGACCTGTCCATCCCCTCGTGGACCCCTTGGCAGCTGGACCCCACTTGGCACGCTTCCCCTACCCACCCGGTACCATCCCGAACCCGTTGCTAGGACAGCCGCCCCACGAACACGAAATGCTCCGGCACCCAGTTTTTGGTGAGTCTGTGTCATGTCGCCAGCCTTGGTGCGCGAGCGCTGCCTCGCTGGATCTTGCGCAGGTCCATCTAGCCCAGCATCCTACACCCAAGAGCCGGTTTGGTATAGTGTTTAGGAGCACGGGCTCTAATCTGGGAGAACCGGGTTTGGTTCCCCACTCTTCCACGTGCAGCCAGCTGGGGTGACCTTGGGCCAGTCACAAGTTCTCTCAGAGCTGTTCTCTCAGGAGCAGTCCCCAAAAGAGTTCTCTCAGCCCCACCTACCTTACAGGGTGTCTGCTGTGGGGAGGGGGAGGGGAAGGAGATTGTAAGCCGCTCTGAGGGAAGGGCAGGGCATAAATCCAATCTCTTCCTCTTCTTCTTCGTCTTCGTCTTCCAGCCTTAGGCAGCCAAATGCCTCTGAGCTGAGTGTGCTGGCCCTCCCCTGTTGCTTGCCCTCTTCACCCGAGGTCCCCAGGACAGCTTACAGCACAGAAACAGTGAAGCAGTTGACCCTAAAGCAGGAGTTCAACACCCCAGAAAGCAGCACACTGGTCCAAACTGATAATAAAAGCCTGAATAGCCCAGACTAGCCTGGTCTCATCAAGAATTGGACGCTAACTAAGCAGGGTCGGCCCTGGCGAGTGCTTGGATGGGAGACCACCAAGGAAGCCTGGGGTTCCTAGGCAGAGGGAGGCAAGGGCCAATCTGTCCTGACTTGGGTGGCCCAGGCTACCCCCGTCTCGTCAGATCTCAGAAACTAAGCAGGGGTCAGCCCCGATTAGCACTTGGATGGGAGACCACAGCGAAGTCCAGGGTGCTGCTGCACAGAGGCCGGCGATAGCAGACCACCCCTGAACATCTCTGGCCTCGAAATCCCTTTGGGGTGGCCATGAGCCAGTTGTGGCTGGAAGGCACTTATGTCCGACACACAAACCAGTGCGGATTTCTGCTCATCTTGAGTGAACAAGGAGCGAGGGAAAGTAAGCGATTCAGCCGCGCAGCCCGATAAAGGGGGGAAAGGGGAACAGGACGGGCTCCTAATAAAGCAGGACCTTTTATACAGGCAGCTCTTGGTGAGTCACCAAATTTGGCAACTCCTTTTAAAAAATCTATCTAAGCTGACAGGAGTCGCCATATCTTGCAGAAGGGAGTTCCGCGAGGAGACGAAACGCGTTTGTTAGCGCCTCCGTTGTCTTCTCCGGCCTCCTTTACACAGTCAAAGCTCCAGAGAGGTTGTTCGGCACCACTCCTTCCATTGCGGGTGATTCAGTGGTCGCAGTCCCAGGGTCAGGAAGAGCAGTGCTGCACACACCCTTGCCAGGGCAGCCAGTTCCAACAGCACGCTGACGGGGAGCGCGATCCCTTTTTCTCTTACAGGTACCCCCTACCCGCGTGACCTGCCCGGTGCCATCCCCCCGCCCATGTCCGCCGCCCATCAGTTACAGGCCATGCATGCCCAGTCAGCAGAACTCCAGAGACTAGCAATGGAGCAGCAGTGGCTGCACGGACACCCCCACATGCACGGGGGGCACCTTCCCAGTCAAGAAGACTATTACAGGTAAGGGGGGGTTGAGGGGAAGACACCCTTTTGTGGTCAGGCAGAAGCCCTGCAATGCCTGTCCTTTTAAACGCACATTGTCACCATCAGCTTCTTCTCTGTGATGCCGGCCCAAGAGCTTGACTTGGCAGACGGGAGAGGCAGAATCGGGAAGCCGCAGAGGGAGAAGGGGCAGGCTCCACCCAGGAAATGCCCTTATCACAGCTAAGGGGCCGCGGCTCGGCAGTAGAGCATCTGCTTGGCGTACAGAAGGTCCCAGGTTTGACCCCCAGCTTCTCTAGTTAAAAGACCAGGCAGGAGGTGATGTGGAAGACCCCTGCCTGAGACCCTGGGGAGCCACTGCCTCTCTGAGTAGACAGCACTGGTTTTGGATGGGCCAAGGTTCCGATTCAGTGTAAGACAGCTTTGTGCCGTGTTCATGTGAGCTCTGGCCTTAACATCCCCATTCGTTTGAAGGTAGATCTGAGTAGTGGATGTCCCTCCTCTCCAAACCGAGAGCCCGTTTTGGTGTAGCGGTGAGGAGCGCGGACTCTGATCTGGGAGAACCGTGTTTGATTTCCCCACTCCTCCTCCGTGTGCAGCTGCCAGTGTGACCTTTGGTCCGTCACAAGTCCTCTCAGAGCTGTTCTCTCAGGAGCAGTCCTCAAAAGAGCTCTCTGAGCCCCCACCTACCTCACAGGGTATTTTTTGTGGGGGGGGGGGAAGAGGTTGCAGGCCACTCTGAGACTCCGAGCGAAGGGCAGGGTATAAATCCAATCTTCTTCTTCTTCTTCTTCTCCTCTTACGGAGTGTGTTCTAGTCTGTCTCTACAGAGCTGGGCTTGTGTGGGGTTTTTTTGCCTGTTCCTGATCTTACAAGTGAAACCCTGTCAGGGTTAAGCAAACAGGTCCACGGTCACATACTTTCAAAGCATGCAAAGTCCCAGAACAGAATGAAGGGGGAGGGTTGTCAGAGAGGGGCTGGGACCCATGGGCCACTGTGTACCCTCCTAATTTGAACCCCGAATGTGAGTTTGTCAGCCTGAGGTCAGTGCCATGCGCTGGATGCAGGCTGAAGGGTACCGGCCCGGTGGGCTGGCAGAGGCGGAAGGCCGGGCACACCGTATTGATACCAGGCCCACCCAGTCCAGAGTTTTCATACCGCTTGCCAGTCAGAGAGGCTGGTACTGAATCCCCTTCTTCCCCTTTGTACCCGAAGAGAGCCCCGAGATCCAGTCCTCATGCTGGAAGGTTTTGCCGTTTCACTGCTGCCCCCCCCCGACCCCAGCAAGGAGGCAGATCTCTGCAGTTCTGACCCGCCATCCCCACATGCAACAGTCTTCTCCTTCCCCCTTTCCCTGGACTCTTTAGTTCCTTAGACGGTAGTTTATGGTGGGAAGAGCCTCTCTCCCTCTCCCTCCCTCTCTCTCTCCCTCCCTCCCTCTCCCTCTCTCTCCCACTCTCCCTCCCTCTCCCTCCCT